ATCTGGCCCTTGTAGAAGGGTGGAATTTGGGCAGGAGGATGAGGAATAAAGAAGACACTGTGTCAACAAAGGTGGGGCCATACTGGGCAACTGTGACCACTTACTATAGTCAAATGCATTGGGATAGGTTGGAGATGTTGAGACATGATCATAAAGGGCCTGGACTATTAGGCCAAGCCTTTTTTCAAATGGGATGTCATTAAACAGAACCCCCCTGCTCTCATCAGAGCCCTCAGGAGGCTGTACTGCTCTGGAAGAGAGCAGGGAACAAAGGCATAGTTAGTTTCTGATTAGAAACATATGCCTGGGGCTGGATGCAGTGGCGCACACCTGTAATTCCAGCGGCTCCGGAGGCTGAAACAGGAGGGTCACAGGTTTAAAGCCAGCCTCAGCAATTTAGTGAAGCCCTAAGCAACTCAACAAGACCCTATCTCTAAATAAAATATAAAAATGGGCTGGGGACGTGGCTTAGTGGTTAAGCACCTCTGGGTTCAATCTAATCTTCGGAATCAAAAAAAAAGAAAGAAAGAAAGAAAGACATGCCTGGAGCCACATCAACGTTTATAGCAGCTCAATTCACAATAGCTAAAGCTATGGAACCAACCTGGATACCCCTCAACAGATGAATGGTTAAAGAAAATATAGTATATATACACAATGGAATAGTCCTCAGCCATAAAGAAGAATGAAATTATGGCATTTGCCAGCAAATGGATGGAACTGAAGGCAATCATGCTAAGTAAAATAAGCCAATCCCCCCGCCCCCAATAAAAGGCCAAATGTTCTCTCCGATATGTGGATGCTAACATACAATAAGTGTGGGGAGGAGGTTATAGAAGTTCATTGGACTAGACAAAAAGGGAATGAAGGGAAGGGAGAGGGATGGGAATAGGAAAGACAGTAGAATGAGAAGGACATAACTCTCCTCTGTTTGTATATGAATACACAACCAATGTAACTCTACATCATGTACAACCACAAGAATGGGAAGTTATACTCCCTGTATGTATGATATGTCAAAATACATTCCACTGTCATATATAACTAAAAATTACAAAAAAAAAATAATAAAAGAAAGAGGTGCCTAGGATTTTTTACTCCTTGCAAATGATGTAAAGAGAAGGCCACATTTACAACAGGTTCCTGGCCTTGTCTGAAATGCTAATGACAGAGAGGCATCGGTGGATAGTAACTAGAGCCAGAGTACCAAGTTCAATCTTGGCTCCGTCATTTATTAGTAGTGTCACCCAAACTCTGTACTCCGGTCTTCAGTTTCACAGTGGAGCAGATAATCATATCAACCTCAGGACTGTTACCAGTCTTCAACAAAATGATGCTCATAAACCCCATAGGAACAGTACTTCTTGCATGCAAGGGTTTCCACAAATATTACCTATTATTGTCCCTTCTCTTCAGTGTACCTTGGTTTCTTCAACAAAATGGAGATAATAATACCTGTCCCAGCCCATTTCTTTTGGACCCTAACAGAAAAAAAAAAATGCAATTATATGTGTGAAAGCAATTGGAAGTTAAGTGCTGCATAGAAGCATTGGGGCTGTTAATTATCATATCCTTGGCTGAAAGGTGATCCCAAAAGCCTAGGCTCAAGGGTAGGGAGCCTCTGAGTCTCTGGGCAGTTGGCCACAGGTGTGTGTGTGTGTGTGTGAATGACTTCTCTGTGGATATGGTAGGTCAGGGTGTGGGTCTTAGCATCTGACTGGTCCAAGGTTACGTAAAGATGGGAACGGGGAAATCTACTGAGCAAGAAATAAATAAGATTTAAGCACCGCAGCCTTGCAAGCGGTGTAATTTCAAACATCATAGTCTTGGACATCTGGGCTCTATTACCTGAAATCCCATTAAACCTTTGGCTTCATAATTCTGTATAGAAACAGGTAAATTGCAAGATCCTGCTGATGGCCACCAGCCAGTTCAAGCAATTAATCATAAGAGTCCCCAAGCAGGTTTGTGCCTCATGCCAAGTGGATTCTTTAAGGGGAAACTTTGTGCACAAAAGAAAGAGCCCGATCCATGCAGTTCCATAGCAACATGCTTTGTAGCTCAGCCCACACAGAGAAGTTGTCTGTTATCATTAAGACATCCAAGCCTCATAACTTTTTCCTCAATGGAAATTAGTACTCACCCATCCAGGGAACATCTCCAAATCTCGTTAACTGCAATACAGACTATAACCTGCTAGGAGCTGACGGCTCCAGTTTAGACAAAACTAAGCCCTACCCATTCCCCACCCTCAGCACCTTCTCATTTGGGGTAACTCAACTTGAACTTAGCACTTTTTTTCCTTTAAACCTTTCTGTATGGATGAACTATTTGCATTTGCCCCTGTGTTCCAAGCCAAAGAACCAGAACCCACAGCGATGTGACCTGGGGGCCTGTCTTCTGAATCCTGCTAGACAGACCCCAAGGTGAAAGGACTCATAACAAAGGAACTGTTTCTCATAAGGTTTCTTGCTTGGTTTTGCCAACTCAAAGAGGTTTGTGTAAACAAGATAATGTCTGCACTTCAGAATGTTTATAAAGTTTTCCTAATTACTGTTTTGTATATGGAGTGATTCTGGGAGCATGATAGAAAACAGAGGGGAAGCCTTGAGTCTTCCCAATGTAAAACAGGAAAGGGAGGTTGGAATAAGAATATATTTACAGTATAGATGAGAAGATTTGGAGCTTCTTTTTGTTGTTTCAGTTTCTTCTTTCTGAAATCTTTTTACTAATTCTCTCAGAATTTCAGCTTTCTACTCTGTGGTGTGGCACTGTCAAATAGGGTAGCCATGGGGCACATATGGCCATTTAAATTTAAATGAATTAAAATTAAATAAAATTTAAAGTAATTTCCTCCATGCACTCACCATAATTTAAGAGCTTAGTAGCCACATGTGAGTAATGGCTGCCATATTAGAACATGTATTGAGCATTCCATCATTGCAGAAGTTCCACTGGACAGTGCTGCTACAGATCAAGGAACTGTCTGGCCTTGCTACTCAAAGTGTGGTCCATGGACCAGTAGCACTGGTTTCACCTATGAAATCTGAGAAGCACTAGTCAGACATTATCAGACAGTTCTAATAAAGTATGATACAGATTCACCTGAGGACTTGTTGGAACTATGTGATTAACAACATGTCTAGGTGTGATTCATATGCATATTCATAAGCACTTATCTAAGGTTTTTAAGATACCTTTCTGCTCTATGATTTTGTATGCTGAATTTCATAATTTGTTATCAGCCTTATTATTGATATTTTTCAGCTTGCTTAGCCTTAGTTCACAAAGAGAGACTTTTGGCCCCTTGAGACTTGGCATGCAAAAAGGAGAACCACTTATAGTTTACAACTTGTAGACTACTTTTGAAGAATGCTTTCCTCTTTCTCTTGGAAACTGGAGAATTGTCTTGATACACCTTTTCTAAAGAGGTGAATCTTACAGAACATTTTTCCAGTGGAGAAGCTGTTGGATTGGTCAACAGAGAAGCCCTTGCGATTAAATAAGACTCAGTAAAGCAAAAGACAAAGAAAAATAGATGTACTTAAAAAAAAAAAAAAGGAAGGAAGGAAAGTAACTAAGTAACTTCCCCATGCTGGTGACAAACACGCAGGGCCCCATACTCTGGGAATGAGCCAGCTGAGGGACAGAGTGATGAGGGAAATTAGAGAGCAATCCCTCAGAGTATACTGGCGAGCGTTGCGGAGAGGGAGGGGAATAGAAGTGACAACTTGGGTTAAACTTCTAGGTATATTTTCATGCCCTCTCATGAAATGCATTGTTGTTTGTGCCAGTGGACAGGGTTTTCTTCTGGAAAGTTCTGTGGGCTTTTACAGTGGCTGTCAGGATATACTGACTTGAGACACTTGCCCTTGTCTGGCGTAGAAGAGATCGCCAGGGTTTCCACTGACTAATTGACTGTACCAACACATCCCTGCTGAGAGCACAGGATCTCTCTCCCAGGAAGACATCATCTCCAGTTCATGGGATGCAAAGTGATGGTCCACTGTGGGCAGCAGTCTTCTAGATAAAGAGGTGAATAGATATCCCCAGTGATCACAGAGATTTTATGAAGTTCTGATACCTGCAGACACTGATATTCCTAAATCAGTTCTCATCAAGAAACAGTGTTTTGTCCCCCACTAATCCATTCTCCCCAGACCTGAAGGAACTGATAACTTCACTCATGTAGACTTTTTCTATACTCATTCATTTATGAACCAAGCATTTCAAGAGCGCCTTTGACATCGCAGACACTCTACCCCTTACTACAGAAAGAGGAGAATAACACATACTGTTTGCCTGAAGGAACTTGAGGCTCAGAGCAGTGGTGCTTCAGGAAGCTGCTCAGACCAGCAGTAACAGTCTTCCCTGCAACGTTATTGGAAATTCACATTCGTGGGCCACCCTAGACGGACTGAATCGCATTCTTCCCACTGGGGACCCGGAGAAGTGTTTTTACCACACCCTCCAGAGGAGTGCTAAACAAGGAAGTCTGAGAAGCACTCGTCAGGCATCATCAGACAGTTCTAATCAAGTATGTTACAGGTTCTAGTATAGTATGATGACCCAAATTTGAAACTCTTCAAGGCCTACATCACCAAACAGGGAAGGAAATTTTACTCAGTGTTAAAAGAATATCTGTTGTTTGGCAGATGCTAACAGTATGGGGACGACAGAGCATGCCTGATTCCCTGGGACTTTGGATTGGTTGAATGGCTTGCCAGGTCTCAAAGCCTCACACACCTGTCCCACTCTAAAACCAGCGTTTGGATTGTAAGGAAGTGACTATACTATATTATATCCAAGATTCTTGATATTTTATTATATGAAAAGAGCAGGGCTATAAACCAAGTTTTCCCACAGTCTGTACCACTTTTCTCTGTCCAAAGGACAAATAACTACTATTTAAGTACCAGGGGAAAGACGTAGGTGTTTCCATGGACTGTTGCCAGGCAGGCTGGCTTCATGAGAATTACCGAGCCTCTTGTTTATTATAGAGTTTTCCGATCCTCCCCTTGGACATTCTGAATCGGTGGAGACGGAGAGAGACTAGACAGAATAAGAATTTTAAGAAGTTCCCCCGGGTGAGTGTAATGCAGGCAAGTTGGGGAACTTCCAGTCAAAATGTCAGAATCTTGAAACTCTAGAATCTAGAGACTCAATTTAACCCACAGGAACCAGAGTTGATTTCTGAGAGAATTACTGTTTATTGGGGTGAGGGGGTCCCATAAATAAAACTGAAATTTTTATAACATATAATAATTTAGATTTTTATGTATAGTGCAATGATTTGATACATGTCCGTGATGTGTAGTGATCAAATCAGCGTAACTAGTACCCCCATCTTTAATATGGAGAGGGTTCTGAGCCTCTTAATGAGGACAAACACAGTGTCCTTGTCCCCACCCCACCCCCCAGGACTGAGGGAAAGGGGGAAAAATACCTTGCTCACAAGTGCATTTTTATTCAGTATGCATAAGTGGGGACAGGATCACCTGAACCCTCCAAAACTCTCCAGAGAGAATTTCCCTCTACCCCCTGGCCCCTGGAGCCAGTGTAAAACCAGGCAGCAAATCATATTCTAAACGAAACCTTAAAGTTGAGGGCTGAGAGAGTAAGAGATGGGGGCCAAGGTCCTCTTAGCCCATCTACATATTAATGATTGTCCCATGGGGCCTTGTGGCCTCACATTTCCTACTTAATACTTTGGAATCAACAAGTCCCTGACAGTTTTTAGGCAGATCAAGGATGATAGCCTGATTTAAAGACCACAGCCTGTCTTAGGTTATTTATGTCTCCAAGTCTGGCTTTCTTTATCTGGAAGTGGGAGTTATGGTGGTACTATCTGCTTTGGTTGCTTCAAAATGGACACAGGTTTTTAGCAAGATGCTAGGCACATGGTAAGCACTTGGTTCATGATAGTGCTTAGTATCGAGGTTATTGTTGTCTGTAGATTCCGTGTTACTCAGAGTTCCCCATAGACACAGAATAACAAAATGGATGGATGGATGCATGGATGGATGGATACATGGATGGATAAATAAATGGATGGATGGACAGATGAACAGACAGATATGAGAAAGAGAGAAGAGATTTATTCTAAGAAATTGGTCACATCATTATGGATGACAAGCAGTCCCAAGATACGCAAGCTGGAGACCCAGAAGAGCCAAAGGTAGAGTTCCAGTCTGAGTCTGGGTCAAAAGGCAGATATAGAACAAAGTCTCTGCTCAAAGAAACACAGAGGGAATTACCCCATATATGTCTGTTCTATTCCAACCTTCTGTGGGTTAGACAGGCCACCCACATGAGGGAGGGCTCTCTGCTTTTCTCAGTCTAGCAATTCACACATCCATCTCACCCACAAACACCTTTACAGACACACCCAGGTTAATGTTTAACCAAGTATCTGGACACCCTGTGACCCAGTCAAGCTGACACATAAAACTAACCATGACAGACTCATTATGGTTCCCAGTTGACAGGGAATTAGGAGAGTTACATCCTAGTTTGTAGGCATCATCTGTTCTTTACCCACATTCAGATTCTGACCATCATTTCCATGTAGTCAGAGGGTAAAGTTGATTACTTAATCATACTCTCAGGGAGCAAATACCCCCTCAACCTTTTGTGGTCCAGGAATGGCAGAAATGGAATCAGTGCCGCCCAAAAGACATATGACTTCTCCCACCAAAAGGGCTGATGGCAGACTTTAGTTTTATTGCCACATAAATCATGCTTTGTTCTTTTTTTTATCTCCTAACTTCTTCCATACATACTAATTAATTAATTGAGCATACCTGTCTAAATCATCCAATCTTGATTCCTATGACGGTATGCCTGTGAGGGTTCTAGAGGTTAGAAGTGATTTAGTATTAGAGGGTTTGATTACACTGAATATAAAATCAAATAAAATGAGAAGATGATGGATAGAAGAGAGGAATGAGGTTTGAAATTAACCTTATTTCCTGTACATATAAGAGGCCCACTTAGGTTGGTTTCTATCTTGGCCTATTTTGGGAGGGATGTATTTGGCTCACAACCAAGAATAGAAAATAAACAAGGACCTCTATCTGCTAAACCAACCTCAGCACTGATGACATTGTGAGCTGGGTCATTCTTTGCTGTGGGGGCTCTAGGTCAAACCTCTTTTACTGTTAATGAGAACTCTTACCCAGGAGTTACTTGATTTCTTTCCTGCATTTTTCCTAGCATGCATTCCTTCTCACAGACTCAGGAAAGCCTAGTGGTGAGAGCAGATCTGGGTGCCAGTCTCAGTTCTGTGGGAGACCAGAGCACAGCAGTGACAAGCTCAGGAACCTGCCCTTGTTTTCTCCAGTTGTGTTAGTGGGTAGTGTAATCCTCAGAGCTGATGGCAAGGATGCAATGAGTGACTGCTTGTGAAATGTAGTTGGCACAGGGTAGCTGCTCAGGAAATGTGAGCTCTGTTCATGAGCTGCTGTGCTGGGGCAGTTGTGGATCTCATACCTGATGCACATTGTCCCACATCCCAGTGCAGTTTAGATCCACCCCAAAGACCTCAAATCTGACTTCCATAAAGGACACTTTCAGGTGCAAGACAAGTCCCCTTCCTTCTGAATGAAGACACGGAACCTCCTTTTAAGAACTGAAGTCCTGCTCCCTCCCTTCAGACCATTGCATGTGGGCTGCTGGAACACAGCACCTTTTCTCCTTCCCTGCCCTTACCAAGCCCTTCAGCCCCTGGCTGCTGCAGTGAGAAACAGGGAAACTGATAGCAAGTCCAGATCTGTTCCTGAACCCTCTGCAGGCTGCCTTGCCTCCGGGCAGCCCCTTGCTGCCCTTGAAGTGTTTCACCCTCTCCTAACTGGAACTGTCTCTGAAGTCTGTGCCACTCTGGGGGAGAGTGAAAGCCAGAGTGGTAACCGTGACCTCTGCAGGCAGGCAGAGAGTGCAAAGCCTTGACCCCTGGGCGTTCTTTATCATCTGAGCCCATTTTATCATCACAGCAACCCAATGAGGTAGGGAGTCTGCTTGCTATTTTAAAGGTGAAGAAATTGTGGTTTGGAGAAATTCATGTTTTCAGCAATCACACAGCTGGTATGTGGTGAGCCTGGGATGTGAACTGAGATCCGTCACAGCCCATGCTCCTAAAGCTTCCCTACATGTGCCAGATCCTAGGCAGAAATGATGATTGAGTCCAAGAATGCAAAATTAGTTCCTGAATTCAACAAACACACACACAAAGATTTTTCTCTAACAGCATTCTTTCTTAATTTCACAAAGATTTATTAAGCACTTTCTGTATACATGACACTCTATGTTGCATTAGGAAGGCATAATAATTCATTGAAACCACCTTCAAGAAGTTGAAGAGGGGGCTGGAGTTGTGGCTCAGTGGTAGAGCGCTTGCCTAGCCTGTGTGAGGTACTGGGTTTAATTCTCAGCACCACATATAAATAAATAAAGGTCCATTAACAACTAATAAAAATATTTAAAAAAAAAAAAAGTTGAAGAGGTAGGCTAGGGATACGACCCTGGTTTCAATCTCTAGCCCCTCAGGAAAAAAAAAAGTGTAAGGGGAGTATTGGATACATTAAAATGAAGTATATGGTAATAAGTTTAAGAAACCAAGCTAGCTCACGAAGAGAGTAGCTAGCTGTATCTAGAGGGAGAGAAGATTTCATAGTGAACTTTGAGGGGACCTGGAAAGATGGAGGGGTTTGGATTCACTGTTGTCAGAGGATAAACACACAAGCCATCTTAGAGGAAAGGAAAGTCTGAGCAAAGGCCAGGAGCAACCCAGTGTATACAGGGAGCTGGAAGGAGTCTAAGGTGGCTGAAGCATACAGGGATGGAACCCAACACGTGTCTCCTGTTAAGGAGGTAAATGGGACCCTCTTGTTTTCACATAGAGCCCATGCATCACCATGACCCACTCCAAACAGAGTGCTGGCTGCAGAAATGTCCAAGAGCAATGGAGAATCACTAAGTGTCCCGGAAAGATGGCAAAGAGGATTGTGCCATAGCAAGACTCTTCCTCAAACCAACATTTCTAAAAAGAGCTGGAGGTTGGACATGGTAGCACACACCTTTAATCCCAGCATCTTGACAGGCTAAGGCAAGAGGATCTCAAGTTCAAAGCCAGCCTTAGCAATTCAGTGAGGCCCTAAGCAACTTAGCAAGACCCTGTCCCAAAACCAAAAAAAAAAAAAAAAAAAAAAATTAAAAGGGCTGAGGATATAGCTCAGTGATAATGCTCTTGCCTGGCATGCAAGAGGCCCTGGGTTTAATCCCCAGTACAAAAAAAAAAACATGGTTATTTGGATGATAAACCTAGTTATCAATTGCTGGCAAGGATCTAAAGTATAGTGATCCAATAGAGCTGCCTCTTTATTATCATTCTCTTCATAATGTTTATTTCAATTCATAGTCATTTTTAGTGTCATCCATTTTCCAGATCTGACTTTAGCAAAAGTCTCGAGAATAATGTCCTGTATTGGTTTCCTAGAAAATCTCTGCTGTCCTTCCAAGCTGTGCTGCTCCCTTGTGAGTTGACCTGGACCAAAGAGTTTTACTCCCATTGGTCTCCGCCTCCCCTTCAATAATACTAGAATATTATCTCTTAGAATAACTGTAAAGTATTTATTTTCTAGACAGTATTAGAGAATGAAAATAATCATGATGCTTCAGTCAGTCAATACACATGGGTCAAGTGTACAGTGTTGTGAGTCTAATTTAGGGGGCTATTTTGCAAAATAACATGATAATAGTAAAACTCCTAGCAGCTGCACCATTTTCACTCACAGTTCTTCTCATGCAGGTGTGTCAGTATATACTGTAGCTTATCATAACTGTTTATCAAGTTGCTTCATAATCATCGTAATTAGTGTTACTTTAATGACCACATAATCATCCATCTTTTTTTTTTTGGTACTGAGGGCACTCAACCACTGAACCACATCCCCAGTACTTTTTTGTATTTTATTTAGTGATAGGGTCTCATTGAGTGGTTTAGGGCCTCAATAACTTGCTGAGATAGGCTTTGAACTTGAAATCCTCCTGTCTCAGCCTCCCTAGCCGCTGGGATTACAAGCGTGTGACACTGTGCCCAGCTCATCCATTTTATTAAGTTATCACTATTTACTTAACCTAAATTTTCAACAATAGGAATCTGGTTGTTCCAATTTTTATTCTATTATAAATAACTTCTAGGTTACATATATGTAAATATATCATCTTTCATAAAATTATTTCCTTTGGGATCACTGGATTGGGAAATATAATTTTTTAATATTTTTAAATAAATTGACATAATTTTTTTAGTGTACAATGCCATCAGCATTATATTAGTATCCCACTTACATTACAACCTTATCGGAAGTGTGTAGTTTTATTTGATATTTAATACATTTATTTGTACCTCTTAATTGCATTTTCTCAGAAGTAGCAAATTTTTACATATATTTTCTCTTTTGTAGAACCAGTTTGATTTGAAATCCAGTAGTTTTTTTTTTTCTTTTACATCAACAACTCTTAGTGTCCTTCGCTCTCATTGCCCAATACTTTTGTGTACTAAATGAGACTATATTAATATTTTTCTGAGCAAAATAGCTGTACTCATATAATAATGAATTATATGAGATCTGAGCATAGGGAACTATAGGAAGTACCCAGATAAAAATAATAGGAAAATTAAAGATTTTAAATCAGGAAAATATATTTGTACCAACATTCCCAAGACCAAACATGAGCAGAGTTGCAATTCAAATAGTTCAATCTCCTGTCAGTTTTAATGACTTTCTCTTCCTAGTCCCTAACCTGCTCAACCAGTCTGACTTTTTAACAAACAAACTCGAGTTCCAGCCATACAACTTCCAATATATCCTTCTCAGCTTCATCCCAGACCATTTTCCCGATGCATGAAACCATCCCTCTATTCCGCCCCCCGCCCCCCCCCCAAAAAGCCTCATACCCTTCCCAGGTCTGATCTTCCCCCAGGTCAAGTACATGCATGGACCCCACAAATGTGAAATGGTTTCCCAACCCACGTCACAGTCACAGAGCTGGATGCCAATTTCCTTCCTTCCAGGCAGCTTGGCCCACCTCTGAGATGGGTGTCTTCCATGCCCTGCCAAATGGCGAAAGGACATTCCATAAACACAAGCCACCACAAATCCACCCTTCAGTTGAGTAACCACCATCCTGGCTAGAGCTTTCTCTTTGACCTAAGGGTGTTAGGGTTTGTTTGAATAAGATAATTGCTACATGCCAGTATCTGGGAGCAGAAAGGAAGTAACTCACCACGTTTCCTCCTTTTTCTTCTTGCAGCCTCAGCCGAGGGTTCTCCATAAACACGGTTAGCCTTCCAAGCTGCTGTCCTGCCAGTTGGTATGAACATGGCCTGCCTGCTCCCCACAGAAAGACTAACTCATGGCCCAGCCGGAAGAGATCCTTGGAGCATTGACAGATTAACCGGATTAAATGAAAAAACACCCACTCAGTCAAGATTATAAGCTTTGGGGAAAAAAAAAATCTTAGTTTGCTGTGGATTTTTAAATGAGGTGCATAATTATACAGTGCCAATTTGTTCCAAGTGGTCATTGGCAGACCCTTCACTGGAAGATGGCTTCCAGTTTTCATCACTGTGCATAACTCAAGTTCCCCTTGGGGCAGTGTCTGTGCCCATCACTACCAGTCCTGTTTTAGCATGGCAACTACTGGATTATTTTATTATGTGTGCAGATGGCATGATGTTTTAGAAAAAATATTACAGCAGTTCTGCAGTCTCGGTGGAAGTGTTCACAATATTATGCCCTGATAGGAATGTAAACGTGTCTTGGTTATGTTAGTTATGATGTCCAAAGGTATTCTGTCCAACTCTGAAGCACTTTATAAAAGAACACTACGCTGAGATGAATTAGCACGTTTGGTACATGTAGGAATACAAGTATTTTGTTTTTTTCTTTTATAAATCTTGTCTTATTTCTGGCTCAGACTGTCCAAGATAAGCTCTACTACTAGCATATCCCCAGTCGTTTGTGGTAGGTTGGTGTAAATATGGCCACAATACTGTTAGACCTAACCTCTTGACACTTTACTGAATAACCGGGTTACTTGTAACACCAAAGGGAAGTAGGAGCTTGCCTGGGGGATTGGAACACTGAAGCTGTTGGTTCCTGATACCAAGGCACAACTTAACACATGTACATACAAATACTCAAGTACAGGGGGCTTCTCTTTGGCCAATGTACATATTCTCTCATTCTGTAGAGAAGGAGGATGGCCTTCTTTTTAATCAAAGACCATAGATGCTAAGGGCAGCAGAATGCGATTTTCCTGTGTGAGATCCCACTTAAACAGTGGAAAAAAAATTCTAAGTCAAGTTCAATCACAATTCTCTGAAGAGAAACAGTATCAAGTGACCCCTTTGTGCCTAAAGAAGGAAAGGTTCAGTCCCACACTAGGTTCGTTACTCAGCATAGAACCTTCGACTCCCTTTTAATCCTTTCTGGGATTTTATTCATGACTAATTTTTTTTTCACTCTCTAATAACAAAGCACAGTCCTAGGAACTGTCTACTCAGTGACTGCTTATCTTTGATACTGACTGGCCCTACATTTTATTTTAGCTCATTTTTCCCTGGATACAAAGTTGACTGGATGAAAACCTCAGCAGAGTATGCTCTGTGTGCCTACTACCCCCGCCTGAGGCCGAAAGGCATCAGAGACTTCTCTTTAAAATAGATGTGACAGCATCTGGACCCCTTCCAGCACAAGTGAGCAGGGCATTTTGGGGTTCCTTGGGTCCTCACTGTCTCCACTTGGGGTTCATGAAAGGGAGAGAGATCCAGATGTGATTTGGACCACAAGCCTGTCAGACTGTAAAGCCACAGAAGGGGTGTCCAAGAGGGAACTCAGAGAAGTGCCAGTCACCACTGAGATCTGACCCTCTGACGTGTCACCACCAGGACCACAGGGCCCACAGCAAACCCTAAGACTCTACAAATTCAGAATTAGGAGGTCACATTCTGACTGTCAGTGCCTCAGGATATAACATCCCTATCTCATTGCCCATCTCTTGAGGCCTAGTTCCAACAGCAAGACTTCTCTGTCCTTCCAGTCCTTTCTTAATCAGCCAGCATTTGAGTGTCTACCATGAGCCAATCTTTGAGCTGGGACCACTGCAGCGTACCAGGCAGACTCTCCTGCCCTTCTAAAGCTGTACCTCCTCTTCCCAAACACTGTCCCTTCCCCACTCTTCCACAATGAAAACTGAATTCAGACGGCATTCACTCTCTGCCAGATTAACCCAGGAAGATGCACAAGGCAGCAGGCAGGTCCCTCGCCTGAAGGAGTGGACAGCACCATAGCACATAGATGTACCCTTCCTGTACAGCCAGCCCTTCCAGATTGAGCTGGTTAGAGCTTCCCAGAGCAGCTTTCAGGTTACTCTCCTTGAAATCCACCCTGGTCACCTGTATCCCCATCCTTCCTTTATACAGACACAGCCATTGATCACTATGCTGGATTCTCTAAAGCTCCAATTCTATAATGAGTCCTGAGGACAATGAATTGGATGTGATGAATCCTAAAGAACTACTGCCAGGTGCTGAGATATTGTAGCTGGGAATGGACTGGTCCAGCCAGGGACATCCTGGGACTACTACTACACCCCTGGAAAATTGGACATGCTTTATGGTGCAGATGTTCACTAAGTGGTGGTGGTGCATTGTTACTTTGGCTTTAATAATCTGATCATATTAAATAAATAGAGTTTCCTAGCTTGCATTTTTTTTTTTTTTGTCAAAAGAGTGCTAGATAATTACTGAAAAGACAATGGGGAAAGGTGGAGATGGGAGAAGGCAAATGTAAAAATGACCATCAAAGAACTCAGTTGAAGATGGTGTCTAAAAATACCTTTATGCCTGGCATACACCACTTACTTGTGTATGACTACTCCTGTTTTCCAAACTGCCCACCTCTGTTTGAAATTATTTTGGGGCATAGCTTTGGAGACATGGTGGAATAAAATCTGAGCAGTCACAAGCTAAACCAGCAAAATGGAGAAGTGACTTTGTTCACAGCCTCTGGCTTCCATGGTGATCCTCTGTGATTTCCCATGCTGCTTCCTTCTGACCTATACCTTTTTCCCAAGAGGAATGTGTGTGTGTGTGTGTGTGTGTGTGTGTGTGTGTGTGCGCGCGCGCGCGCGCTCAAGCACATGTGCTTGTGCAGAATTTTACCTCCCAGAAATTCAGAAACGGCTATGCAGTGAGTATTGTTTAGTAAGAAGCAAGAGATGGGGAGCTAAGGGATAAATATTTTGATGTCTAAGGGCCGTAAACTGTTGATGCTTAACTTTTACTTAAACCTGTGCTACACCTTTTATTAAAAGGCTCACACCCACACTTGTGCAGGGAAGGCAGTCTTGGGAATGAACAGAAATGAATAATTATCAGACTCTCGAGGGTGCCAAGGGGATTAGCTTGTCCCAGCTCCAGAACTGAATTTAAATATGCAGAGCATTGGTGGTTCTGCTCCAGTAAAAGCAGATCACTTCAGTAGCTTGAGACATGCCTGGGGGATAGGGGTCATATCAGCTCTCCTTATGAGGAATGGCCTTCCTTCCAGTCCTTGCGCAGGCTCTGCGAGGTGTGTCCCCACAGATTTGACTTCGACTTCCAGAAAGTAAAGACATAGATGAATTCCTTTATCCCCTATGGAGTTTCCCCCACCCCCAGAGTCACTTTGCAGTTGCCCAAATAGAGAGGCTTATGGTCCTTCTTTCTGAGGGAAATGCACCATTTTTATTTCTTCCAGGTAAAAAGAGAGATCTACCTTCCATGAGAATATAAACTAAGGATAAAAACTTCTAAAGCCCCCACCCTTTTTGTTTGCAAATGCTTTTTTTTTTTTTTTTTTGCCTGCAAATGTCACATAACTGATTCAGGGTGGTAACAATAAAAGTCTCAGGGAAGCTAAAGTTTCCAGACCCCCTGAGCGCTTTCGTTTTACTGAGCCCTCCTCTTCTAGAGCATTTGCAGCCTCCATCTTTGAGATGTTTTCCTCCTCATTCTTTAGAGTAATTTTGCTACTTGACAACCAGACCTAAAGCTGCCATAGACCCTTAAAAATCTAATCTTTGAAAGTGACAGAAATTCCTTTATTCCCCAAAGGCTGTTTCTATTCACCTCTCCCTTGGCTTTGTTTCCTATGCGTGTGTGATTTTCTTTTTTTCCTTTTCATCTCTTTCTTTTAACATAGTGCTGTGGGGAGATTTCAAGCATTCTCTAAAGAACTCCAATAGAAAAACAGAGTCCTTACCTTCTTTTTTTTGCCCAGTCCTGACTAATAATTCCTTCTTAAGCTTGACCTTGGTGACTGCTATCTGCCCAAACAGCAGTGGAGTTCTCATCTCTAGGAGGGGACTGGTCAGCCCTGATCATCAGGGAGAGGACAGGCCAGGAGATGTTCCTACCAGGACACAGCTGGAGACTCTATTTCAAAGACAGGCAGGGTTTGCCCCTCCTCTCCTTAAATCCGCATCTAATCCTAGAGCCAGAGAACTGTCCTGTGGATTCCCCTGGCAGCTTCAAGGTAAAAGAGGGCTATATTTCCATTATTTTTGCTCCGGTGACTTTCAATATTCAGGAGGCAGGGTACATTAATTTGAGAGCTGTGCTGGTCAAGAGCACAGGCGGGTTCTGCCACACCTTAATAAAAAGAACAACAACATAGATGCTTCTCATCCGAGAAGGTGGCTGAAGGGACAGTGTCAATACTGGTGTCTTCTGCCCATTCCTTAGTTCCACAGGTGAAATCCTGGACAGGGGAGTAGAAGCAGACAGGCACTGTTTCTAAAAATGTTAGGGTAAAATTTATCAACAACCAATGCAAAAGGAAAGAGTCATCAGGCATGAGCCCGTTCTAGTCCTCTCACCCAGCCGCAAAATGACTAAGAAATGGCTTCCAAGGAACAAGTGTAAAACTGAAGTTTCATTTGCCACATAAGGCTATTTAAAAACCTTGAAGCACCCCAAGCATTCCCAGATCAGAGTCTCCCTCTCCTAATTACATCCAGCATGAAAAGGCAAAACAGCCTACTCCTAAATTATAATCCGTCACCCTATGTCTTGTGTTGGACTGCAGTTGGGTGGGTGATATCACAAAGTGTTGTTGCTATTTAGACACTGTTCATAGTCACACAGAATCTGCATATTGTGATGCCAATAGTTTGGGAGTTTCACTTTGTTGTTGTTTATTTTGTGATTGCTTCCCAACCCTCAAACATACCCAGGAGCCTTAGAAAGACTGAAACCCAGGCCTTCTGCCTAACATGCAGTATCAGAAACAGCCCTACCTACTGCGACCTATAAAAAGATTATTCAATTAAATTAATCTGACCTTGGAGATACTCATACCTAAAATGATTATAACCCTGAAGACATTGCTGGTTGCATGACACATTGTTCATAGGCTTTTAAAAATTCAGTTGTTTGGGGGCTGGTGATAAAGCTCAGTTGGTAGAGTGCTTTCCTCCCATGCAGAAGGCCCTGGGTTTAATCCCCAGCACCACAGGGAAAAACAAAAAAAAAAAAAAGAAAAAATTTAGTTGTTTGGATCAAGAAATTAAATTGGTTTTGAATAGTTTGGCCACATCAGCATACACATAGCTACCAGATTTAGAATTCCAGGTTGGGTTGATGTGCCAGAGTTCACAGATCTGTTATGTGGGATTGCACTTAATCACCTCCACCCTTCTCAAATTCTGTGAAAATATATTAAAACACTTTATGCTAAAAAAAAAAATCTAAAACAGTAGACTCTTATTCGATCATTATTTCACTTGGGGTGGGGAAACTCATTTGGAAAATAACTTTGAAGAAAACTTTGCTTGCTATTAAGTGCCTCCAGCCACCGAGCTTGCTCCTGTCCCACAAACTGCCATCTGCTCAGAGCTTAGCCCATCCTCTAAAATAGCACAGATGCCACAGAAACACCTTTTAAGCTCAAACACAATTGCAAAAATAAGATTTAGAATTTTAACGCTGCCACGGTCCTTGATTCTAGGATCCCTGAATCAGTTCTAGTTCTTTGGTATCTATTTTCAGTATTTTTTAAAACCACAATTAACTACATTTAGTCTGCATTGGGAGCTGCTTATGAATCCAAGCTGGCAGCTTTTGGCAATTCCTGTGTCTAGATTCTAGATAATGCATGTTTCCCCACATACCAGCTAAGGGGTTTTGATGGGCACATTGAAGAGGTCCCTGGATACAGGTGGATACTGAAGAAAATGTGAGACAGGGAGGTTGTTCATGTTTCAGCCATGTTTTAGTGCTGGTACTTTTGTCTTTCTCATTTTCTCTCTCTTTCTTCTCCCCACCCCCTGCCTTGGAATAGAACCTAGGGCCCTACACAAGCTAGGCAAATGAGGCAAGTGCTCTACCACTGAGCTACAGCCTTAGCCTGTCCTTTTCCTTCTTATCCCTTGCCCACCTCTGATAACCAGCAAGCAGAAGCTATAACCTCTGCAGTAGGTGTTGGTCCCCACTGGGGACAGGAGGGAATTCCATTTGCTTAAACTCACACCAGGCAACCAACCGTAAGGCGCTCTCTCTACTCTGTATAGTTTCTCCTCCACCAATAGGGAAATACTGTCCTTACAAGGCCGTGTTTGAGGAGACTGAGGTTTGGCTAGTGAAAGAGACTTGCATTGCAAAGAGCTGAATAATACCAGGCTCTTGACTCTGCACTGTGAGCCTCAGTCATGATTGGGCAGAAGTAACTGATCTCCTAAAAAACCAAGCCAGCACAAATGTTTAGAAACTAATTCCACCGAAACTCTCATATCACTAAATCACACGACTGTAGTTCCAGTTAATCCAACTATTTAATATCATTAGGCACTAAATTAAATAGCTTTATACAAAATTTTAGAAAAGATCAATATTGTAACAAAATTACATATTAGCAGTAAAAAGCACCTGAGAAAAGAAAATATTGATCTGTTGTGGTTTATATACTTGAGTTATTCTTAGGACTTTGTAGGGATTGGCACTGCTCTGATAAGGGCAATAAAATGGTCCGAATTTGAGAATGCTGGACTAACGGAAATTGCCCAGTCTCCCTGGGCCTCCGCTTGTCTGGGATGCTCTGTCCCTGCTCAGCAGATCATGTTATTTGGAGACTAAATGGAGCTGACGAGAGAAGCTATCCCACTCCACCAATGCATGCAGAATTATCATGGCAAGCTGGATTATGGGATTTATTTAATGACATCTTTCCTAACATGAGGTTTCCTCCTCAAAGCTTTTATTTCTGGGATTTAGAAAGGAAAAAGAAAGAATGATGCAAAAGTAACAATCACCATTTTACATACACACATATGCTTTTTCCAGTATTTGGAAGCCAGTCTGTAGAGCCCATTCCAAGGTGTCCCTTCATCTCCACCTCTCCACCTCCCAAAGGCTCAGAGCACCAGGGCCCAGGGAGAGTCCCCCATGAGAGTATGAAGTCGACTAGCTGAGGGCTATGGGATGCAGAGACAGACACCAAGCTTCCTGCAGAAGGAGCAACTGCGTATCGTGAATTAATATTCATTTGAGGAGAGCAAGAGGAAGGAAAAAAATCACAATGTGAATTAAATATAAGACCAATGCATTCCTTACAGTAAATGAGGAGGGAATCTGACTTAAAAAAAAAAAAAAAAAAAGAAAGAAAGAAAGAAAACCTGGTTCATTGTTTTCAAACTAACCTGGCTAAAAAGCACATTTCATAACACAGAAGCCTGTGTAGATGGTAGACATTTTTATAGCTTCCTTAAGTGAGCAGTTAAATGAGCAGTCTGAATTCCGTTGGTCTCCCAAGAGTGGTTAATGAAATAAGCATTTCCCTTATTCGTTGCCCACACTGTAGTGCTGTTCTCTCTCTATGCACCCTAGGAAGACTCCCACACCCAGACTTAGGAGGATACAACCAAGTTATCGGCCAAACAAGAGTGCCTTCTCTGTTGGATGTTCACATTCGTTCCCTGGATTCCCAGGGCCTAAGATGTTTAGAATCTTTTTTTCTCTAAACATAAGAATTATTGTGCACCACAATTTTGAACCACTGATTTCTGTATCTTAAGCAGCTATCAACTTGCCAATTCCCTTTGGGTCTTCTTTCTATTTTCTTATAATATTTCCTTCTGTTTTGGGTTTTCCTCAAGAAGAACTGGGGGCATGATTCTTTTTAAATTGATAAAAATGAAACTGTACAGATTTTTGCCCCCTTGTATCCGTGAGCATGATCTCTATCAGGCTTGAAAATCTGCTTTATCATTTTGTATATTTGACTATTTTGTATTCAGCATTACTTGACTCCTTATGTGCATGGCAATGTATTAAAATGTGGGATTTCTATTACCGTGTAAAAGTGTTTTGATTCTGATTTTCAACATACATCCTGCAAAAAAAAAAATTACATTAAACTTTTCATTTCTATTTTCTTCAGCTCATCAGCTTTGCAGAAGAAAAAGAAAAGTTAACAGCATTTCACTTTCCCTGTGTTAGCTAATGATGCAATTCATGGTGGAAAATTGTCCTCAATTATGCTGCGTTTCCTGGAGAAATAATATATGTGAAATGAATTGGTGGCCTCCCTCCAGCACACAGAATCCCCAGCACCAGGTCCCACCAGTGTGATGACTCGTACTGTTGATCACTTTAGTGTTGAGTACAGCTGGACAAAAATCACAATGGTCTTCATTCCTAGGCATGGGAACACACCTGAGGGAGAGAAGACAGCAGATCTTAGCTCACCAATTTGTTCTCACCCCCAGGAGTCTTAAGTACTTACAGTTGCCTGCTTGGTGGTATTTCCGTGCACCTCCTGTCTGCATCTCTCAGGTGATGACCAAATGTAAGCTATCTGTCTTCTACCAACAGAGATACTGACCTTCAAATACCACCTGCCAAGAGAGCTGGGATTAGAAATTGAGGTTCCCAGATGGATTTGGCATTACTGGTAGCTCAGCAAACATCTGCATACTCTCCGCGATCATCCACATATTTTACAGATGCCAAACTTTTTTCTTCAACTTAAAAAAGAAATCCTCTGAATAAGAGGGTGCATCAAATGTGAACAGCAGACAATTTGACCTGCTCAAAACTCCCATGTTCCACACTCTTTTTCAATGAGACATGATAATGAGCACCCACGGAACCCAGGACTGCATTCAGTATGATGACTTGCCTGGTGTAGTGAAAGGCACCTTCCCCAGAAAAGAAAGAGCATTTATAAATTCTGTAAGAGAGAGAGAGAGAGAGAGAGAGAGAGAGAGAGAGAGAGAGAGAGGGAGAGATATTACCATGAATCTAGTGTTCGTTTTGTTTTTGTTTCCAAAAGAGGTTTCCAAAAGCAAAACCTGTGATAACCTGCTAGATGAGCTCACTGACTTGGTGTATAAATCCTCTAAACTCTTCATGGACCTTGTAACTCAATAGCACAAGTTTCTTCCGTTTTCTTTGCATTCGGATTAAGGATGTGGGGAAATAGGGCACCTTGGTTGGGTAGCTTCTATAGAAGACTTTAAAACCACAGCGTGCAAATGTAACACTGTCATCATCTTGGCCTCTCTGGGATCATCTCTGTCCACTCCTTCTCTTGTCTCTTTCTCTCTAGTTCTTCTTCTGTCTACATCAGTCCTCCCCCTTTAATTGATTATGCAATTGTCTTGATAATTTTCTCTGCTGTGCCCTCCTCCCTCCCTCCCCCATCTGTCTCTATCTCCTCCCTCCCTTCTCTCCCATCTCAGTCTCTCTCTTCCCCTTCTCCTCCTTTCTTTTAGGGTAGGATGTCCATTTTTATTTGTATCCCCATCTCCTGGCACATCAGAGCTGCTCCACAAATGAAAGGTGAGCTGAGTTTAAGTTGGTGCCACACCCTCCCCAGCTCATTTTCCTTCTGCCTTCTGAGCTTCATGAGACTAAAGTCAGCTGTGTTATCTGGATAGATGAAAGCTTTAGGTAACAGATTCTCCCAAAGCCTGAAGCAGGCCGATCCCCTAAATAAAACTTTACCAATACAAAAAGAAGCCTTTCTGCTGACCCAGGGCTTGGGGGACTCATACTTTTCTGGGTAAACATGGGAGCTATATTTAGATCAAGGGAAGTGATATTTTTTAGTTCAGTGGAGGCCACCAAAATAATTTATTGACCTAAGATTATTCAGAATCTTACAAAATCCTTCCATGAGACTACAGAGCTAGACATTTTGTGCTAGAGAAATCCTAAAAGGCTTCCCGGTTTCCTGTGGATTCATTTTGCCAAGAGGTCTCCCTGATTGAGGAGGTTTCCATACAGCGATTATGAAATCATTAGGGCCGTTAATACTTTCTCTTTCTTGTATATCTATTATTAAGGCATATAGACGTATGTACATCGTAAAATAGCTTTCCATTACCTTTCATGAATAGTGTATAAACACTGAAAAATTAACGTCAGAAGAGCTTTAATAAAAGCAGCCACATGCTTCTGTTGCTGTGAGGGCTGGGGCTCTGTAGGGTGGGCGTGGAGAGTGAGTCTTAGACAGTTGTTTCACAAGTGAAGTTGTCCCCTATGTCCCCTTTCTCATAATATGGAAACTTACCAGGACTCAATTTTGCACTCA